ATGCAAGTATCCCTGACTTCCATTCTTCTTTCATCGTTTTTTAAGAGAAAAGATTCGTCCCAATGATCGGCTCATCCCATCCCGTCCGGATCCCGCCTCACTCCACGCTCCGTTTCTCATAGTTTCTCCTAACGAGTTCCAAGGAAAAAAGAAACAGTTTATGGTAACTGACTAAATACTACTTCATCTGTAATATAAAGGCCAGCAGTCCTTTTCACCGCCGGGGTTAAAGACATGAGTGCCACTAGAGCCCACTGTACCTCGAAATTAAAAAAAAACTTTGACACTTCTGTAGACGGAAGGAAAAAAAATAGAAATATAATCATGCTACCAGGGTAATGGTCACCATAACCAAGGCTTCCAGACAAGGAAACTGACAGGAAACAATGGAAACGTGAGGTATAATGGGATGGAGAAGAATGGTCTGGTGGCTCTCAGGGACGAGAATGTGGTTTCCTTCAGCTCAAATAAGGGGGGGTCACGTTGGATGGTTGGGTCTTCCGTTAACGTTTTGGTTTCTGGCATCAAGGCTGAGGTCTTTCTATTGTTGTTCAACCGTCGGTTAGGACCATTTCGGGATGAACAAATAAGTAAAAAAAATCCTGTAAGATCTTTCATAGCAGGACAGGAGCCCATGAACAGGTCTGTTTGTCCCGGATGTTTCCTTTTTTGATTAAAATCTTGCTGCATAAAGAAGAATAGTGCATTTAATGTAATATCTCGGCCTTTCCCTTGGCTGTGGGAGATCTGGGTACGAGATTACATGCGGGTCCGGATATACCCTTGACTATTGATTTTGTTAAATTTTTGCTCAATTTTGGAATTCCCTGACGCAGCGAATCTTTACATACCCGAATATCCTACGAGTAGCTGTGCCCCTCCTCCACTCCTGCAGAGAAAATGGGTTCCTCCACTTCCACTGTCTCTCCGGGGGAGGGCACGGCTACAGGTAGGCCAGTCTGAGTGACAGGTAAAAAAGGATCCGTTGTGTTCATTGTGTTGTGTCTGGGAGAACCCCCTCCCCATCCTTCAGAATTGATTTGATATCATTCATTGTTTTCAATACCCAAGGTGTCAGAAGACTTTCGTTCTTTCCTCTTTCTCCTCAAACATGTCATTACTGATGATCATTTTATTTGGAAGATTATAAGAGCCATTCAGAGCCCAACGGGGTCCCCGAAAGGTCAGATCCTAATCCTAACGTGAAGGCACCGTTCAGTGTGATGGTCTTTAGGCGTTTTCTCGTTGCTTTGTGCTTTGTTGTCGCCGCTCCATGGCTCAAGAATGTTTCAAGAGAAATATGGAAGCAATGCCCTGGTGCTAGTAAGTGGGGGGGGGGGACAGGGGGATGACAACCTCCCGCTTCCCGTACCCCGTTCTCCCGCCTCCCGTACCTTTTTGTTCCTTTGTCTCCCGACTTCCGCCCTTTATTGTATTTTTCCCGTCATCATGTAAATTATAAAGATCAGAAGCCCGGGTTTAGTGTTAAAGCTGTAGGGTAATTTGCCAAAGATGAAAATTGTTACAAGTCAGTTTTTTTAGTTAAACTGAGTTTTCACTAACCTGGTTATCTAGGTTTGACCACCGCTTCTGACATCCCACTACAGCGACAATAGTCTCAGTCCACTGTGCAGTGTAATAGCTATTGCAGTCATCAAAGATGCATTAACATGCATTTAGGAATCCCGAAATTACGGGGATCATGCCAAAATGAAGTCGAAGGGCCAAACGTTACGGTAGAGTTCAGTACTCCTGTCTAGTTCCCAGCGTCTAATTGTACTAATTGCATATCCACCGCAGTTAGTTTTCGTTATTTTTCGTAAGAAGTCGTAAGCTATAAAAACTGACTTCAACGAGACAATAATTGCATGTTCGTTAACCGTTTGCATTTTAAAGCGTTCAGTTTAGTGCTGGTGGAGTATTATTGTTATCTGGTTATCAAATCTCAAACCTATTCATATTTGCTCGAGAAGTTGTATCTTTCATCAAACATTGGCGGGGAGGTTTAACGGTTATACATACATTTTTACATCGGAATGATGCATCTGTGTCCGATTTTAACAAGAAGCATTTGAAGAAACGAATGCTCTGCTCTTATTGGCTTATTACAAGTTAAATAACAGGACAGGGAACAGGTTGCAATATGTGTAAAAAGTGCCCGTATTTTGCTACAGTCGACAAACTAGAAAAAGTCTTCCATGCGCCGAGGAGGTCGCACTGATCTCCTCCTACTCCAAATGTTAGTTAGAGCAGTAAAGTCTGCCTCCTCTTCCTCCGAGTCGAGGGAACGTTTCTAAAATTACAGTGCAAAGTGCTAGGAAATGACACCTACCGTGCAGTTCGTAATCTTTTGTTATTACTTTTTCTTTGTTATCTATGAAGTCCAACCGGACAGCGTCCCACGCTGTTTGACTTCCTATTCTAATAAGCAGTGCTTTGGCCTTATCCAAAACAAAAAATTGCGTTGTATATCTAACCACTCCGCACTCTCCAGCGCGATCAGTGAATTTGCATTTCCTGGACACAAGTTTGCACCACGCCGTAAAATCTTTAGTGTTTTGCAAACTACAATCGTACGGAGCGAGCTCCCAGGAAGGTCTTCCAAGTACGGATTTTTCCACACCACACCGAAAAATACTTAGACCGATTAAAATGGTCTTTGACGACATTTTATGCACCTATCAATGTAATGCCGGCGGGGAGGGGAGGCAGGGCATAGGGTGGGGATTTGTTTTTTTTCAAAAATTTGCAATCAAATTCCCTGCCAACGGGCAAATCATTCCAGTCAAATGCAACCAAATTTCCCCACCCCAGGCTGCACATTGCTGTCAGTCCCAAGGCAGAACCTAATAAAGGCACAATAAAAATATCTCCGAATAAAACTCTGCAATCTTTTATAAACGTTGCTGCATCACCAAAGATACATGTTCCTGTTACAGCTGCAATTATACGTTTTAACCATAATCCGTGTCACACTGGGTAGAATACATAAACCTTTAGGAGAAAGTCCACATTTTGTAAGTCTAGATATACCGTTCTTAGTAAAGGGTACAAACAAAGTCAGTTTTATCAGTGATTGTAGCGAACGAGCCATACACTAATCAACTGTACTTGCAAAATCGGCTCGGTTTCTCTTTACTTCCGTTTACTTTGATACCACATTATATTAACAGGTTCAATTGATCAAAAACACCCTAAAACAAACGAAATTTGAAGACAAAACAGTGAAGTCCACTCAGCCTTCGCTTGCTCTCATTGGCCTCCATGACTTCCTGATCTTTTCAAACCGTATGGCGCGTGCGTGAAGCGTAGAAGCGGGAAACACATGTTCGGTCTCAGTCTTTTTCGTGCGAGTCGGCAGTCAAATATCTCCACGTCGGGCGAAGAAAGATTCAAATATCCCCTCCCCCGGGAGAACAAGATCAGTCAAATGCCCTACCCCAGGGACAACAAAGACAATCAAATCCCCACCCTATGCCCTGCCCCCCCCCACTTCGGCTTTACATTGATAGGTGCATTACCTGCGAGACAGGTCAAACAGACGAGACACTGACACGACTTACACAGTCGACACACGTGTACATGTGTCACGCCACCTCATTCATGAGGACTCGTGACCTATGATGTAACCGACTTGGAAAGGTTTCTAATTTCACCAGAAGTAATGCTCTTTTTTCAATCCGAGTGCGAATTTACGTTTTTTGACTTTTCTCGCATTAAAATTTTGATTTAGGGCCTCGGAGAACGTTAAATGGAAGTCAAGAAACGTTGTTGAGTTCGTTTCTTTGACTGGATGATGAGCAGTAACAATTAACGAAAGCTTGCCTTTTGGAATTTCTCTCCCGCTTCCCGCCATCATAGAGATCCCGCTTCCCGCCCTTTCTTCTCCTGTCTCCCGTACCCCTCCCGCCCCCTGTTCTCCCGGGCTCTCGCCCCCCTGTCCCCCTCCACTAGTAAGGTGTGTTTTCTAGTGATGTTAAGATCCTCGATGTCCTATAATAAATTAAAGTGGTAAAATGTTTTTTTCTTTTGGCTGACAAGTAAAAATTAGCAATCAAAGCTACTGAACCAGGCAATAAATAAGTCATCACGGTAATACTGACTGAGTAAAGCACATCTACCTGTGAGTGAAGAAACTAAAAAGAACCAAAATATTGAATTGCTTCACAATAAATCACGTTTTCACAATACCTTTGCACTGTACAAATACTTGCTCCCAATTTCATTGGATATGTAATCTTATATTTATACATTAAATTATTAGCTCCAATAGTCGTTTATAAAAGCAAACATTAAAGCACTTGCTTACATTAATAAACAATGAAACAAGAGTAAAGACAGAAGATGCAAGAGTAGACACATTCACGTAAATACAGATAAATTGATTGCATATATGACAATGTGCAAAAGAGGTGAAAAGTTATAGTTAAGTTGCACTGTGAGAGTCTACTAAATTGTACATACTTTGTACACTTTTTCTACTTAATTAACAACATTTACAAGAAATACTCGAACACAACATCATGTAAGAATTTTTGCATTAAATAACAACTGCAAAAAAAATTCAGGAAAAAAAGGGTTTAAAATTTACAGATATAAAAAATAATTTTCTCTAAAAAAATTAAAATAAATTTCTATAGTCTAACAAATCTTACTATCATGATGGGAGCCAAGACTCTGTGGAAAAATTGTAGGGAGCCTGTGAAATACAGGGCACCCAGCATATGATCATTATTCATTAGTGGCTTTTTTTAAAGCAACACTTATAGGGGCTTTGGGGGGCTAAGGTAGCACAGCCTTGGGACCAAGTGGGATATTGACAATATTATCATTACTTTCAAACTAATCAATAAATAATTTTTTAACACTACTTATGTTTACTTGACATCACTGGTCAATGACTTATTATTATTTTATTGTGTTAAAAGGAGATGGGTCATGAAATCTATTAAAATTCAAACAGTGGGGAGCTGCCACCAGATAATTAATTGAGTGAGACATTAAAATAACAGGTCAAAACTTTGAAAGAACTGCAATTTGCCAAATGTTTTGTTGTCTGTAACATGACACACAAGAGAGTAGATATTCACATTTTCAAATGGTTCTGAAACAAAGCCTTCTTTGAATGCAGGTCCTCGGGCGAGAAAAAAGGGGTGCATATCAGGGAATTGGTTACCGTAGCCATGGTTACCACAACTGTCTATTCTCGACTTGTTTTTTGTAATGGTCCATACTTCTTCTGCGACAATGAAAATTGGCATGACACGTTGGTTATGCCTGTAATGAAACTCTTCAGGTATTTCTTCTTTAAGGTATGTATATAGATGTGGAACAGTCTTGAGCTTTTGGTAGGTGTCATTCAACTTTCCGTTCTTGGGTAGAATATGAAAAAACACATTAGAAGCATGGTCTGCCCTGTTTGGATCAGTGATGAGTGTATACCAGTCTGATGGAATGTAATGATCCAGCTGGATAAGACGGGAGTTGTTGACATCTGCCATGCCATGGTCACTTGTGATAATCAGGTTTACCTAAAATGGGTCATAAAAATACAATGGAAATATATTTAGACCCACGAGTTGTACCTAATAAATTATTTACTCATGGGACAAGTAAAGAGCTACTACATCTTACCATATACAACATATCCCAAGGATTAGCCTGCGATCATTCCCTCTCGCTTTATCTCTGTAATCTGTTTTTGGGAGGAAGGCATGACCACATTCAAAAAAGCCAGAATCTGGACTTCTTTCTAATTGGATAGGAAACAATACAGATGGTTTGCGGTGTTCCGATTGGCCAAAATGCCACCATCCGTTAGTTGTTGTTGATTTCAGTCTGCATTTTTGCTTGGGCAATGAGCAGTGAATACACATGCGAGTTCGTTATAAAATTTCTACCAGCTCAGTTTTCTTGAATTTGAAGAATGTCTAAATAGAAATTTATCCATTAAAATATTTTCCATCTCATTGTATACTAAAAAGTTGCAGTCAAAAATTCCTTGATCACTTGAATGCAATTTGATATTGGGTACAAACAGATTAGCTTTTTCAAATAATCAATTCATAAATGGAATCTTGACCTGGTTTGACTGTAATTCCTCTTTCAGAACCTGTGAATTATTTTGAGTCATCTTCACTTTCGCAACATATTTTAGTTCGTGAAATATGTTGCACCAACCTAATTGATTCAATTCAATTCTTTATTTCACACTATATAAGATATTTACACAAGTGTATGTAGGTAGGTAAATAAAGTAGCTGATCAATAATAATTAACTAAAAGACATTAAATTCATTTGTGTACAGTGTCCAAAGTAGCAAGAGCTTTCTTGTTGGACACTGTCACGTTCAGATAATCGGCAGCAGTAAGGAGAGGAAATAAAATCTCAGATAATATCAAGGGTGATAGAACATTATACACAAGGTCAGATTTGGTTGGTTAGAAGACAAGACTTCCATTCTTTCTTAAACTTATGATATGGCAGACACTTGAGACCAGGAGGTACAGTCTCCCAGATTTTTGGAGCGGAGAATTTAAAGAACGTCTTACCTAAGTTGGTGGATTAACTCTTGGTCTAAAATAATTCAGGTTACTGACAAATCTTGTATTATGATTGTGTATATGCGATGCTGGAGTCACGACATCAAGGAAAATATCTGGAAAGCTATCAGTTTCATTTCTCATTCTATCAGTGTATAAGGCAACATATTTTTAATTTATACGTGTTATATAATTTAAGGATTGTTAGGAGTTTGAAATAGAGAGCAGCACTCTAGGATGTACAAAGAAGATGGTGCGGAGACTTTTTATATTCTGTCACCTTAATTGGATTGTTAGAAACTGAAAGTGTGTTTTGTATAATTTATGCTTAGTTTTGATTGATTTGAGAATACCATTAGTTATCCATGGCTTAGTACACAATTTCTGTTTCTTTTGGGACAATTACCCAATTAGTTCATGTTTATCTGCAATTTATTGATTTAATCAGGTCAGTTATTTTAGTAGTTGTCTCATGCAGATCATTACTATAGATAGCATTCCAGTTGACTGCATTGATATCCCGTAAATAAGATTCTTAATCAAAATTGCTGTAATCTCTATAATACTTAATAGGGTTGTGTTTCTTAACTGGTATATTTGTAACAGAGACAACTGGGAGGTGATCAGAGATATCCACCATTACAATTCCAGAGACAACTTTGCATGTACTGTTGGTATGGATATGATCAATTAATGTAGCTGAATGATAGGTCAGGTGTGACAGTTTAGTAATAATTGGTAATAAATTATTGGAATACAGCATGTCAAGGTAAGCCTCTGTAGGTGGGTGACTATCACATTTAAAAAAGTCTATATTCATATCACCAAGGATATACAATTGGTAATTGTTTGGATTAAATAGCTTCATTTTTTCATCAAGTTTGCCATTAAATTCATCAATATTTGCACCTGGATGTTTGTAGATACAGCCAACAAAAGTTGGATTTTTTGTTTTTGGGAGTAGCTATATCAACCCAAACAGATTCCACAAGGGGCATATCCAAAGTTACATCTGACCTTGGAAAAGATTTTAAAGCTTTACTGACATAAAGAGCAACTCTTCCCACCGGGGTTGGAGAATCAGCTTGCATTGGTAGATATTATAGTTAATCAGCTCAGTATTAAAAGTGGTATTTGCATCAGCATGCAAAGAAAGTAGTGTCTGATAGCCCGGGGCTAGTGGATTTTGCTATCGGGCTAGTGAATTCTGTTATTAACTTGCCTGATGGACAAGTGAAGTTTTTTTGAAGAATTCAAATTACAGAAGAACTGTGAAATCAATCTGCTTCTCAAAACGTTTTCGGGGCTAGTTGAAATGATGTTTAGGCTAGTAAATGTTAGCTTCAGCTTGCCCAAATGGCAAGCTGTAAAAATGATTTTCTTTGCACCCTGTTGCATTTAGCCTGGTTTCAGAAACTCCTAATACATCAGGCTGTCCACTTAAAGAATACAGCATATCTTCAAGCAGGCCAATATTTTTTGATAGGCTTCTAATATTACAATGAAGAAATGAGAAGGATTTCGCTCCTGATTTACTTAGATCCTTATTCAAATTGAGGGTTAATTAATATATGATCAGGGTCAGCATCATCAGATTCGTCAGGGTTGGGTAGCAAATTATATAAATGTAATTTTTTAAATTATCTATCTGCAAGTGACAGGATCCATTTAGAATATGAAATTCTCTGTCATCCAGGTCATGAAAAGGTACAGCTTGCAGGCTATTTTGGGGATAATTCAGATTGAACATGTATGTGTCTATAGCTTAGATATTATTATAGGGTACATAAACATTAGGGAAAAAGAAAAAAAGAATTATGAGTTATAATTTTTGCTTATCTGTTCGATGTAGTCTTCAAATTCTTCAAGTGTAACAAAAGATTTGGTTTTTGAAGAATCATGAGCCTTCAGCAAGATCTTTCCATTTGCAGTCCATAGGTATTGTTCTTTCGCTTGAAGTCATTGATACGGCCAAAGAGTTGTTTGCGATAACCTGTGAGAGATTCATTGATGTGGATTTTATTGTTGCTTGTAGCAGCGTGACCCATTGTGGCTTGTACAGACAGCAAGTTGGTAATATTCTTTCACAATTGGATTCCTGTATTTCTTGTACATTTCTTCCCTTTTATCTCTGTGTACGAACTTGACAATCAACTGATGCTTCACATTCTTGGTGTCTGGAAGCCGGTGAGCTGCTGCTAAATGAGCATCATCATGACAACATTTACGTCGATTAAAGTACCAATCTCTTTGATAAGCTGCTCCGGACTTTCCTCCGGCAGTATTGGAATGACCTTTATTTCCAGGCAGTCCATTAAAATTTTTTTCACTACTTTCAGCACAGAACGACGTCAATGAACTTTTACCGGTAAATTCTTTATTCATTTGTAGCTGTTAAATAAAGGTAAGGCAGCTCCAGCTAGCAGAATTCCATCACAAAAAAACAAATAAATAAAAAACATTTAAAACATTTTCTTGCCATCTGAACATGGGCGTATTTAACCCTTTAAGCCTTAAGGGTGATCAGCATCAAATTCCGCCTTGTAATATCCATGCTTTGTAAAACAGAGTGGTCATGAGAATTACCGACATAATCACACAGGATGAATTTGCTTGATATTTTATCAACTTCACCACACTACTTCCATAGGAAATGAATAGGGGCAACAAATGAGAATTCATATTTTGATCTTAGGGTTTAAAGGGTTAAAATTTTCTTTTCTCTTATTCACACCAAAATTTGATTCCTGTCTGGTAAATGCTGGCTGGCGAATAACATGACAGGTTAAGCAGACATTACCTTACGTAAATTGGGTAGTTGATGGCTTGTTAAATGAATGTATCAGGTGTTACTTTTTTCGCTTTCGAGCCAAAGAGGCAAAAAAGCTAAAAAAATAACAATAATAACGCCTGATCTCAGGTAACCTAAGCATCTACTAAAAGACATTCTCTGCATAATTAAATAAATCCAGTACCACAAATGAAGAGCAAAACAGTATGTTTTTTTCGTCTTTCACCTACATGTATATTTCAACCCACTTTACCGTCCTTTATCAGGGTGAATGGCCATTACAAGCATCACACAGCATTAATAACAAGACACAAATTTGAAAATTTGCATGAGCTAAGAAAGCTAAATGCGCAAGCACTTTTACTGGCTGCAAAACCTAGTAGCACTTAATTTCAGGCCTTCTTTATCCCAGGGCACTGACTCCCCCAGAGTAACCACTTACTAACCTTGCCCGTTCCGTCATTACTGGGAAATCTCAGTCTGAGATTTCCCGGTAATGACCGAATGGATGAGGTTAATAAATAAATTTATTATCATGGTCTTTTCATTACGGACCTAAGCGATCAATAACCAGTTACACAATTTACTCCAGTTCTCTGTCTCAGTCTGACATTTCCCGGTAATGACCGAATGGATTAGGTTAATAAATATATTTAATATATGGTCTTTTCATTATGGACCTAAGCCTGCGATTAATTAGCCTGCGTAGCAGGCGCTAGGAAATAAATGGGCGAAATGAAAAAAAAAACGCGCGCGAGAGGCGCTAGGAAATAAATGGGCGAAATGAAAAAAAAATTTCTCCCAAATATTTCCTAGCGCCTGCTACGCAGGCTAGCTATTAATAACCAGTTACACAATTTACTCCAATTCTCTTCCCGCCTTCCATCCCTGACATTTTATGGGCCTCCCCTCCGAGCCTTGCGAAGTGCTGCGATACACGTATTTCAAGTATAAACTGGGCCCGCCTTCAGCAGCCCAGTTAATAAACTTAATCATCACATACATAATTGTGGATGAAACAATAATCGTCATCAGATGTCCACTTTCCACAGTTAAATAGTTGATTTGGTTATTATTTAAGCTTAGATAATCTTACCTACTTCAACAATCCACGATTTCCAACAGATATCCAGTGACATTATCCATTCTATGAACAACAGTTTTAATCTCCGGTGAATTAGGGCTATATCTATGCCCACTGTGACCTGTTTCGTTAAATTAAGCGGCCAAAAAGCTTGAAGGATCGTCTTGCTCTAACATTGTACATTTCGTTTCTCGAAGGAAAGTGACCGATCATAGGGTAAATAGTGTGATGGGTAGTGGCCTTCTATTTTCACTTCTGAACCAGGCCAAAACACCACAGCACCTTTCTTAAGAGCTTTTTTGATCGTGATCCACACCGGTTCTCCGTTCCACCATTTTGAATCCAAGTAATGCTTCTACACAATCTACGTACATAGAAAGTGTCGTTGAACACAGGATCGAAAAACGTATTTGCTACGATCCCGTAGCTTTCCTCATAAAGCCCTGTAACTAATGTGAAATGATTCGGGAATGTCTTGGTAACAAAGGTATTGAGAAGGTGTTTCGCTTTGTGCCATTACTTGCGCTTTCTCCAAGTAGTCCAACATTACAATGGGTTGTGTCAGAACAATTTTCTTATTAATCGAGGCGAAGGCGTTACGATCAGGAAGAAATAAGAATAATATCAACATGTGCAATCGGTCTAGCCTCATAATGAACAATTTTCGGAACGGTACTGTTGTAACGCTGAAAAGTGTGTTTTCCTGCTTGGACTAAATGACGGACCACGTGACCACATACTGCACGCCATCCAATCAGGTTGCCGCACAATTATTGTTTCATCTGTGCACCACCTGTTTCATCTCGACACGGAAGGTCGACCTGTGCACAATTGCACCAGGGCGGAAAAAGGGAGGAAAGTGGGAATGAGCCAATCAGAAGACAAGACCGTTTGCTTCATCCAATCGAAAGCGTTGAATGACTGCTGCGGTAAGAAATAAAGCGGCAGAGTAGTAGTCTGTGTGTCCAAAGTGGGACAGAGCCATCCAGAGGCTGAGAGGTGTAACTAAATAACAAGCCAAGAAGTGGACGTCCCTTAAATTTTTTTAGCAGAAGTGTGATAGAGTTCTCCGATATTTCGAAACCCTACTATTTGGGCCTTAATTCGTTAAATAATTCATTTTATAACTATTACGCTGCAGAGGTTTTACGATGACGACGGAAAGAACGCCATGCATCGCTACTTGGACTTCAGGAACTCAGGAGCATCGGTAGGTGAACCCTTCAAAAACTGAACTTGTATTCATACGAAGTGACGAAGCTCGCAGATCTTTGCAATGTTAATGAATTTCCTTTTTAAAAATGCAAAAACAAGAAGTACTGAGGTGACTCTGCTTAAAATCTTAGCAGACGATAAGATTAAGCGCGTGGAGTATAGGAATATATCAAACTTTATTTATATTGGCTTACTTTGTTTGCCGGAATTTAAACAGGGCCCTTGAAACTTGAATCGTCTTAATAGACAAAAGATCCATCGACCTAGTTCTGAAAAGAGCGCCTTAAAAATTTTGTTTGAATTTGCCAGGTCTCGAGAGTAACTTGTCAGAAAAGAGCAAAGTTACTACTGCAAATGCGCTCACTCCCCCGCAGATGCTGTTCGCACGGCGGAAGTCCTGCAGGGCCGTAGCAAGCCTTTAGATACTAGGTGGCACAAAGATTTTAGATAGTTCTTAGTCATTTTATTTGAAAAGCAGGGGGTTTTGGGTCCGCGGGAGCCATTGGACCGGTCTCTCGCAGTAATAATGTCTCAATGCTCTGGGAGATGAATTTTTATTTTCAACTTTAATGCACGCATGTTTTGACTTTTTGGGGCAAAAGGAGACATGCTGCAGCGACTTTTATCCACAATTTCGTGACTTTGCCGAACCATATCTTCATTACTGTTAACAAACCACTTTCAAAGTTAGCAACTTTGCTGATTTTAAAGCTTTCTCCTAGTTCCAGCGGTTTCGATGAATTTTCACAAACTGGTCCATTTCAAAAGTTAATAAAACCGCGTAAATGTCTATTGATTACCCTGATCTATGCTAAAAATATTTCGTTGAATCTTTCTTTTCCTACCTTTTTGCAAGGCACTTTATAA